CCCCAAGCTATTACACAGGGCTGCTGTTGTGTGTGTGGGGGGGGGGGATTGGGAGAGGAAATGCCTTGTACATTGCTCTGACCACATGAATAAATAAATAAAAATTAATATGGGAAGGCTCCCAATTAAACCAGGTCTTTTGTAAGAAAGATGCCCAACAGAGATCACTTCGTAATCACATTCTGATAGATAACACTTTTTCAAAGAGGAATCTGCTTTTTTAAAAAAATAGGAAAAAAATAATAAAACCTCCAGCACTATAAAGTCATTATTCCCTTCTGAAAGTTAAATTATACTTTCACTTTCTTATGCCTCAATTTAATGAGAGTAAAAGCATGACTCATTCTCATTCTCCCACAGATATGCTAAAAGAATAGTTGCTCTCTATGACAATTTCAGAAATGTTGGGGAGGTATAAAGGTTGGGTTCTTGTTGTTGTTTGGCCTGATGAAATGGTTATGAGATGAAGGGAAGGGAGGCAACTCCACTGAAAGGAGAACATTTGCCCGTAGGTTACTGCTGTTTCTTCACTACAACACATCAATACACGAACTGTAATAATACACCAGGGAACTTCTGCTAATAAACTGTTGGAGCACATTATTACCTGAACAACTGCAAATCAAACAACGAGGCAACCAGAAACAAATTAAAAGCACAGTTTAAGAATCCATTAGCAGGAATACCAATCACGAACAATACCAAGTGTGCATTCACACATGCATAGGGCTGAAAACTAAACAGCAAACTTTTAACAGCATCCTGGAAGAAAGCAGTGTACATCTTCCCCATTGTGTTGCCAAGAGAACTACACAGATATGTCCAGGAAGTCATCAGGATTTAACCTTAATTTTACCTGTTTCTTTTTTTAACACAGCATAACTCTGTGGGTATAAAAGTTCATCAGCCACTACAATACATCCGTATGTGAAATCTTAATTGTATATTTTTAAAAAATCCTCTTCCAAAATAAGCTTATTGAAAGCCAAGTACAGTGCCTTCAGATATTCTCATTCTAAATGTGTAAGAACCCAGAAACCATTTCAACTGTCCTAGAACCAAACTGCAAATATTTCAATAATACGGACCTCCACTTGTGGCCCAGTTAACAGACACATTACCCCACTCAGGACCTGTTATATATTTCCAGGTACTATGATCACACACATCTACATATTGTATTATATAATATCATTCCCCTAACTAACTCAAGGCAGCATACATACTCATTCCATTTTTGCCTCACCACAACCCTATTTGGAAGGTTTGGCAGAGATGGTGTAACTGGCCCAGGGTCATCCAGAGATCTTCTTAGGGTGAGTGGAAATTTTAACTGGGGACTGAGTATGGCCCTCAACACCCACATGACCCATGAGATTTCCCATGATCACATTAGCTTCATCTGTGTCAACAATTTTTAATAGAGTTAGATTTTTAATAGAGGCCCTATGGGTTGCATCACTTTGGCTGATGGTGTATATATTTATATTTTTGTTTTTGTTTTATTTAGCATTGTTGTACCCTTAGTCCAT